CTGGATGACACGAGCTGTCATGCGCATATATTCCTCCAGCCGATGGGTTGGAGCTCCATACTTCATCAAAGCGCGACAAAGCCGGATCAAGTACCGCTGTCGAGACAGAAGCTCTGCAATATGAACGGTGATATGAATTTCATCCTCGAGCTGAGGCTTGGGACGTGAGCGGCCTAGGCTCGGGATAGCAGCACCACTGCTGCGGGACCGCGTGAGCATGGCAAAAGGAGAACCAGAGCGGCGGGACGAGCCGGCCATGGAAATGCTGGAACGAGCGGTAGATTTATCGTACCACTTCCTTTGTGGTTTGCAGACAGAGTCTGGGGACACTTCGCGCCCACTGAACTCGGAAGAGCTCCCTTGTCGAGAGCGCCCATAACGTCCTCGACCTTGGTTGTGGTTATAAGGAGGCTGGTCGTAAAGCTTGAGCAGCGATGACAGAATACCTCCGCGGTAATTTGTCGTCCGTTCAGCAGACTCGAATGAGTTCCTGTCCTCGCTAGCAAAGTCTTGGTCACTGGAGTGCAAACCGGGAGACCGAGGGCGAAGGCGAGTCAGAAAGTTGAGGTCTCGAGATGACATTTGATGCACTAGATAATGGGCTTCGGAGGTGCGCTGTGTTGATCGCCCGTCTAAGATGTCCGCTTCATGTTCATCTATCAAGTTATCGAAAAGTTGTTGTTTCACGGGGAAGCTTATCACAGGAAATTTATCTCCATCTTCAGTCTGGTGCGCCACTTCAGCGGGGTTGGAGCCAATTGAAGACACTAGGCTGCACCTAGGGCTTTGCTTCGGAGAATTCTGGGGGTAATTGAGAAGGGATGCGAGCCTGTGGGCCCTTTCATGTGCGAAACAGATGGCACGCCCCTTGTCCTGCGTACCCTGACCATGTTCATATCCTCCTGATGTTCCTGGGGGGCAAGTCCTGGTGCTGATCGTCAAACCAGCAACGTCTACTGACGCGCTAGTGTGATCATCTTCCACCTGTGGTGCCAGTTGCGAGCTTGAGGAGACTTTTTCCTGGAAGCGCGGAATGTTGGCAGTGGGTAATGGTCTTTGCGGCAGCTCGGTGCCCCTTTGATCCAGTCGGAATTCGACCATGGACCCAGCGGGCTGTTCTCTCGACTCGGATTCGCTGGCCGTAAGCTTGACGCGATTTGCGCTTTTCAGAATGCTTGCATTCCGATACTTGTCTTGTCCGCTAGCGTCACTGAAGCTCCGCACCTGAGACACTGGCTGGCCTTGCAAGCTATCACTGGGCAGTGATGATGTAAAGGAACGCGACCTTGATAGACTTGACGATCCTTCATCAGAGGCGCTGCGGGAGATCGGAAGGTCAAAATAACCTCCCGCCATTCTGGTGTAATCCTTTCTCTCAAATTGACATCTACTTCTTGGTTACTCAGTAGAGCTCACAGACCCCTTGGGTGACCGAGCTCTTAGATAAAAAAAGCACGGGTAGTGCGGTTCATGTGCCCAGGTGGTCAACTGTAACCCAGCAACAGTCAGCTATGTGAGATAGCATGGGAGATCTCTTCTTTCTGGGATTTAGTGTGCTTTAACAACCAAACAGAGAGTGAGCTCACCTCATTCAAAGTAAGAAGCATAAAATTCAAAAAGGAGAAGGTTGTCTCCAACAAAAAAAAAAAAAAAAGAACTGACACGAACCTGCACGCCAGGTCTAGAGCTTCTCGGGAAAGGGGGAGTTGAGATCAGAGGAAGTCCCACCAGGAATGACAACTATGTCATGTGTACATAATTAGACATAGGATATTGTATCGGAAAATAAGAACATATGCAACCTCGGAGGAAGGGGTAGGGAGAAAAGAAATCAGGCAAGGCAAATCAATATAAAAGAGACAGTGGACACGAAGTCTGGGACGCAGGAGTTCCCTCTATTTAGGATCTTCTCGATTAAAGACAAGACTAAAATAAAAAGGAGGGGAAAAAAGGCCCTTTCCGGTTTGCTGGGCAGTACACGGGCCATATAAAGAAGAGTCAGAGGCCCAATAAGACTGCCCAGGTGCATGGGAGGGAGGATTTCTTTTGGGCTATGATTTCCCCGTGTAGCCGTAGAGGCGCCATTCCCATGCCAGGTTCTCTCACGAGTTTTGCCATTTTGCCACGATGGAGCAATCAGCTGGCAAGGTTCATGGACCAGAGTAGAGGATGGGCCGAGGTATGGGAACTGACAGCCAGAATGGTGAAGAGATATGGTACATTCCCCTTTGGCGGGTATTGCGGGAGATTGGCACATTAGTTGAACAAGACCCGGTTCTCTAGCCTGAAAGGGAATGGATTGCCATCACAGCCGAAGTTCTGGGTCGTATATCGTCGAACCTGACCAAATCTCGACCGTTGGCCGAGCAGAAGATCCCCCAAAGGGGAGGGAGACAGGGGGGGGCCGAGCTCATCGTCAAAAAGACTAGGGGTTTCACAAACCCATGAGGTCCCACAAATCCGCAGAGTCAAAAATGAATATGATGGCCGCGTCAGGTTAAAGGGGGTGTGTGTGGGTGGGTACATGGTATCAGAAGCAGTGAAGAGTGATCTTCAGGATCAGAGATTTGACGAAGATCAGTGGAGCAACTCTTTTTTTTTAGCGTTGGATTTACCTTTCTCATGTTGAATAAGTAATATATATCTGGTCTTATCTCTACCCCCTTCTCGTTCTATTTTCGTCTTGACGTATGAAAATGCGATTACGAACTAGTCCAACCCATCCCTTGTGTGTCTTTGACATCATGGGAAATCACCCGACAGGCGAAACATTTCCGTCATGCAAGATACCTGCGAGATACCTGCTTTCTAATAGTTCCTAATTGATATTGACCAGTCAGGAACTACATAGAGATTCCAATCTTGTCCTATTACCCACCTGCATACTATAATTCAAGATCAGTACGGAGTACTCGGGGTTTGAAGATACCTATCACACCATCGGGAAGAATCCTATTGATATTGATACTCATCTCCCTTCCGATCGGGTTCTCCGATCTCCACCGAGAAGCTGATGAGTATTCAGACCGCGCGTCGACACCCGGAAGACTTCCGAGACCCGACTCGGTGTTCATCCTCAGGGGGGATGTTGAAGGTTTCTGATCTGTCCCGGCAATGTACAGGGTACAGATGAAAAGCTTGTGTTAATATCCGAGCAAATTGTTTGCTCTCTTTTTTTTTTTTTTTCTCGGTACCAGAACAGGCTAAGTACTGCCCATGGGAGAGTTCAACAAGCACACATGCACTCCTGAGTGGGCTTGAAACATCCCCCCTTCATGATCAACCAATATCCCAACCATGAGCTCCTCACACGTCATTGTGCTACCTAAAGACGTGAGATGCTTATCTAGGCAATGATCATTACCCAAAATATGCTGCCCAAAAACCTAAGTCAGGGGAGCTTAGGGAATTTAAGCTCACAGATGTGGCTGCTGACTAGTTCTGGATTCGTGCTAGTTTTTTTTTTCTTTTCAGGTGTGGCAATTGAGCAGTACTTCCAAATGGGTACCGCGTACAGAGTAAGGTGACTCTTAAAACTTCTTGAGGAGGATATCAGATAGAATCAGGATGACCTCTTCCGAGGTGCTCGTTATCAAAAAGTAAATTATACCCGGTATGATCGTCCATTTGTTTCCCTTCCTGGACTAAATCAACATCTTACGCTATCCAACCTGAGGAGGCTTAACTAAATATGTCTTGCTTCACCTCTATCTCATCATTTTTCATGCAATGCGACTGCACAACCACCCGTGCCACCCTCACCATCCCTCTCAGTCACACGGCCCTCTTCCCCGACCAGCCGTACCGAAGATAATGGTGTAACCTGCAAGGACGCAGGGACCAATACTTAAGCTTGGACTGCAGAGCTGACATAAATACTATACGGTCTACCAAGGTATGTGAGACGCATGTGCCACGGAGGTCCGGCTGCTCTGTCCTCGGGTAGACACAGATCGAGCAGGTTTAATTCCAGGGTACTTGCGTGGCCTAGGAGTAAATATTTTGTCTTCCTACATTTACCTATTGTAACGTTAGACTTTCCGCATGTCAAGAAAATGAAGATCTCATTTACATTCCGAAGCTAAGCCCTCTATTTTTGCTCATAGTGTTTTGGCTTGATGTATATTTCAACCTCTCTTTTTCATGATAATATCATAATACCGTGTCGACGTGGGTGGGTTGACTTGTGTATGTGTCTCTATATGTATAGGGTGCTCAGGCTCAGGCTCAGGCTCAGGCTCACTGAGTAGAGTTGTTACTACGGACTCAGATCAGTGATTATACTCAGTCTAGTCACATGCAGAATGACTGATACTAAGTGGGTGCTTAGTCCGGAAGTTCGAGACTGGTACTGGAAGTAGTTTTCGATGTGAAATGAACTCAATATATGTTGTCTATTTATACTAAGTAGACTAGTAGACTACACACAGCCCTTGCCTCCGACGCATGTTGGATTTTCCACGCATACCGAATAGTAATCACTTGGTATGCACCATACAAAGACATCAGTAAATTGGAGTTGTGTCTATCTAGTAGGACGGGGGTCCATGCATGGCCCCCCATATTGCTTCGGGTTCCGAAGGCGGCTTAAATATCTCCCCCACAAGATCTACCGAGATTGGGTCTTCGTCGGGTTCCTTAACTGGCTGATCTCGTATATGTTGCACCGTTAGTGCCCGAAGAAAAGATAAGTAGACCCGACAAGCCCTGGCTCGGATGGTTGACACACCGTCTTGGACGCATTACGCCGACAATTGGTAATATTCTCTCTGCAGGACAAGTAAATGCTGTATGCGATTTTCCACTTATGTTTTTCAAAGTTCTCGCTCGAACAAAAAGTCATCAAGCTTTCATCCCAACAATTCTCTTCCAATTGGCCCCTCCAGTTAACCCGAGGCGATGGTGCACCCGACGCCTGTGTTCGTCTACTGCCTTTCATCATTCCTTGCAATGTCATTATCTGTGTCAATGGCGGGGTGATGTCTGAACATGGTTTATATATGCCGTGGTACACAATTGGAGGCGCTCTCGTGCTCACCGGTGGCGCCCTTTTCTATACCTTTGGTGTTGATACAAGCGCTGTCCATATCTACGGGTACAGCATCCTTACCGGCCTTGGCACTGGAATGTATCTCCAAGCTTCATTCTCAGTTACTCAAGCTTGTGTTGCCCTCGATATGGTGGCTAGTGCTTTGGGATTCATCACATGTGCCCAAGTCGTTGGCACTACTATCGCTTTGGCTATCGCCAACAGCGTGTTCTTAAACAAGTCACAAAAGAGTATCATTCACCTTCTGCCCAACATATCCATTCAGGAATTCGAGGAGAAAGTCAAGGTTGAATCGGCTATTGTGGACGCGATGGGCGTGACATATATCCTCGTTATTGATGCTGGTGCCCTGAATCTATTCCTTGGCCTGTTAATGAAACGAGAACATCTGTTTTTACAGCCCGGTGCTGCTGCATAGACTGTGAGTCTATCAGATAGTGGATGAGGCGGGAGAAGTTGAAGAAACCTTGGAAAGAGGAAGATCTTTTTATGACAAGCCTAGAAAGATCACTGCTGGGCTCTCTCTGGGCGACGAGACTGGGCAGAAGTGGTCCCGGAGGTCGGAGCCTTTAATTCGACTTGTTCACACTGCAACATGGTCTGGAATAATGGTTCAATGATTTCTTCGAGCATAAATGACGAGATAGAAATCTACTATATGCTATATTGAGGTCATTGCCTGGTCTCATTGCATCATTCGGACTATATACAAAAGATTAGCTCGAAATTTCCAATTAAACAGACCAAACCGGAGTACTGCCAGGGCTATAAGATTAGACGGCCCGAGATTCGCACTAGGCCGCTCCACGAACTACATGGTTATCCGCTAGTTACTCGTAGCGCTAGACAGGGGTCCATTCCATGTCACTGTCAATTGTCATCATGAAGCTCCGATTTCAAAGCATCCAAGGAATAGCACATAATTATTATCAATCGTCTATAGAACTACCCCTCAGCATCTCTCATAGCTGGCTATTTAGAGGCGACTACAATCATGAAGTGAACTCCTCCTTCTCTCTCCATTCAACTGCAACGCTAGATACGAAGCCTCGAATTCCTCTATCATCCACATTTCCATCATGACTATTTCCGAGAACACTGTGGTTTTCGTCACCGGCGCAAGTCGAGGCAAGTCCTGCCTTGAGGCTTATTAGGATCGAGCTGACCGAAAACAGGAATCGGACGGACGTTGGTGGAAACCTTCCTGCTCCGGCCTAAGTACACTGTTATTGCGAGTGTTCGAAACACAGCCGCAGACTACGTTAAGGAACTAGAGGCCTTGCCCAAGGCTGATGGCTCGCGTCTGCAGCTAGTAAAGATTGAAAGCAGCATCTCGGGCGACCCGGCGGCGGCCATCAAGAACCTCACGGACATCGACCACATCGATTTAGTGGTGGCTAATGCCGGTGGAGCCGGCGATAAGGGCATCATCCCCTTGGACGTAGTGAGCCCCGAGATCGTGACCGACGTGTTTACCGTGAATGCGCTCGGACCCCTGGCCCTGTACCAGGCTGTCAAGCCTTTGCTGGAGAAGTCCCAGGCCCCCAAGTGGGTGTCGGTCACTAGTGCCGCCGGTTCGATTGGCCGGCTTGAGGTTTATAGGGCTCACATCGCTCCGGCATACGGAATCGCTAAGGCCGGGCTGAACTGGATCACTACGTAAGATGTCTGCCAGCTTGGGCCTACCCTGGCTGGGAAAAGGGTCGGCTAACTCCGGTCGTATAGTGCTATCCACAGTGCCAACAAGAACTTCATCGCATTTGCCGTGCACCCCGGGTAAACCATCAGAGACACTATCCAGATAGGAGACAGTAGCTGACTACCTAACAGCCTAGTGCAAACAGAGAGCGGCAACAAGAGTGCCCGCGCGATGGGGCTTCCCCAGGCCCCCAACTCCCAGCGCCAGAGTGTCGATGCCATCCTAAGTCTGGTACGTGATTCCCTTCCCGGTCTAGAGGAATGAAGGATGTAGACTAACCCGTGCAGATTGATAATGCGACTCGGGAGACTACCTCAGGCAAGTTCTTCAACGTGATCGATGGGACGCAGATCCCGTGGTAGAGGATAGCCTCCTATCTGAAAGGCCCAGTGGTGTACCATTGAAAGGCTGGAGGATTGCCTTTGTTATATAGCTAGTCCGGGCTGTGAGCCACCTTCTATAACAACCAGCATACAACCCGGCTCTGTAACTCTATAACTATCAGACTAAGCATGAGGTGCATGGTGCATGAAGACCACAGACCTTTGAATTTGGTGTGATGAGATTTACGCTGCCTCGTCTCCCATCTTGATATAAAACTCACAACTTGTTATGGTGATCTCTGATAGCCGTTTGATCCAAGTTTGATCCCTTCATTATTTCTTAGTCACAGGTTTAAACACCAAACCTAGAGGTAGCAATCACAGAAGACGCATTTTCTATGTATAACTTTCGAGTGATATCTAGGGCTCTTCGATAGACTAAGTAACCTGGCGTTCCACGTGGGTGAGTGTAGGACAACATCAGAATTATCGTAGGACCTAGAAGCATAACTGCATGATCCGAATAAGCCGGAGGAATTTTTCGACCAAAACAACTACTTAGATACTAGATGCGTCCATGGAATATGATCAACATAGCCAAAACTAGATAGATAATTCAAACAAGATCAGATATTTGCTAAGATATGTATTCACCAAGGTGATCTGAGCTCAAATAATGCACCGGGGAGAGCAGCTGTACATAACCAGATGTACATCAAAAGCCAAGTGGAGAAGAGAAGAGAAGACAAATTGCCATCGCAGGTGTCTCTCTTCCAGTCTCAAGCTCATCCTGTCTTTTCCGAGAAAATAGAGCCGGTCTGCCCAGCCTCGGCTATAATGAAGCTAGGTGGCAAAATGATAGAGAACGTAGTGGATAAAGATGAAGATAAGGAAAAAGAAAACAAATAAGAATAGAGTCATTTCAGACCGATCAAGGTCTTTCGTCACAAGAGCATAAACCTTGGCATGAGTTGCCAGCAAAAGAGTGGTGATGAGAAAGGGAATGGTAGAGGATCAGCCGCTGTCGAGACCCCTTTGATCAGGACTCGATAGACCAGGAAAGACAAAAGGCCAACCCATTTGGCAATAAAAAAAAAGAAAAACATGAAAGAAAAGGTCATACGTCACTGTCACGTGGTGTTCGGCATTACATGAAGGGTGTCTTGCGTTTTTCAGCGCTGGACAACACCAGCATCGGCGTCTTGCGCCGTTCTGGTGCCTGGACTGCCGGCCCCTGGGCAGCAACAACATCCGCCACTGATGGCGACGAGGTGCCACTGGCACTAGGCGAGTGAGCATAGTCCCCGCGAGGATCAACAAACTTTGAGTAAAAGTAGCCACCGTCCTCGCTAGTCGGAGTGGCGCTGTGGAAGGGACTATCAGGGGACTTGCGGTCCCGGCCAGATTTCTCCCTTCTCTCGGACCCAATGGCACCATTAGCAACTGCCCGCAGGCTGCCTAGACTAGGTTTACTGGAGAGGCTCCCGCCGCTGCGCACGGTGGCATCATCGCCATCTGAGAACGTAAACTCTTTCTCACTCGCAGGGGTGTTAGTGCCTCCACTGCTGTGGTATCCAAGACTGCGCGTGTCGCCACGACGCTCGATCCCTGCACGAACAAGATTGTGAACAGCACGACGTCGCTGACGGGTCGCAAAGTTCTTGCTACCTTCGTGCTTGGAGGTGGGCTTCGCAACAAGATCTTCAAGCGAAGGGGGGCCACGGGGCTGACGCATCGGATGCTCACCAGCACGACTTTGACCGGGTCCAAATGTTCCAGTGGCCGGTGTCGGCGGCAGGGCTGCAGACCTAGGGCCGGGTCCCACATTGGCCTTGACAGTATCAATGTTTGTCTTGATAGTTGGGTTGAACGAAAGGTTCTTGCGGTGACCTCGGCGGAGAGCATTCACAGACGATTCGTGTGGCGGAGAGGAAGTTCCAACCGGGGGAGAAATTGGCTGTGGGAATTGCATGGAAGATTGCGCGGAGTCCGCAGGAGGAGAGATCTCTGCACGGAACTGGGGAACTTGCTGGCCAACATGGGACTGAGTATCTTGATAGAACTGTTGTTGGCGTTCTTCCTGGGTGTTGTTATCCATGATGTAGCTTTGTTGGCCAGTAAGGGGATTGTAGACGCAGAACATTCCAGGTTGGCCAGGAACCGGCTGCACAATGGGCTGAACGCCTTGCTGGAGCTGCTGTTGATAAAATCCCATGCCAGGGATGGAGAGCGAGGGAACCTGTTGCTGCCGAGGAAGGGACATTCCAAGGTTGAGGCCTTGGAATTGCTGAGCTGCAGCAGTGACACTGATCAACTGCTGTTGCAGGCGTTGCTGCTGTGCAGCAAGGAACAGGTTGGTTGACATCAACTCCGCGTACATATTCTCATCGATTGGAATATCGCCACCGGCCATCTCAAGCGTCGGAGGTGCAAGTACCTGCTCCGGCATAGTGTACATCATGCGGTTGTGCTGCGAGTTGTTGCGCTGCGAGTTCGCGTTTTGATTCGTGGTGTAATTGTGCTGTGGGAATCCAGTTCCGGTCGCAGTTTGTGGGACCCGGTCGACCCCTCGGTTGGAATACCCAGTGAATCGTGCACCATCCATTCCATTCCGCTGCTGATGTTCAGAGGGGATCGTGGCAGACTTGGGGGCAGTGCGCAGTCCAGCCAAAAGATGAGAGCGACTGGTACGCGGAGTGGAGACAGATGCCGACGTTTGGGACTCGTCGATGGTAGCAACCTGGGGAGGCATGCTCAAGCGCTTGATGTGAGAGCCTTTGCCGCGCGAGGCGAAGCCAGAGCCCGGCACACCCAGGGAATTGCCATTATTGAAGGAAGAATTGTAAGACATTTGAGCAAGACCGCCAGCGTCCATACTCGTATTCGTTTGGTAGAGGTGGGTTGTAGGTATGTGCAATAGAGTGCAAGCGAGACAAGTGGTATCTTTTGGCGTCCGGATTTGACGTGAGCGTTTGGGGTCAACCACAAAGCTGAACTCACTTCCCGGCGATTAAGGAATTATGGTGTCTATGCAATACGTTGGAATAAGTCTGCGAGATCGGAATTCAACGACCGAAAAAGAAAGCGTAGACGCGCGAGTTGGGGTTCTGTATCCAGAAACTGGTCAGTAAGATCCAACGGATGGGACAGAAGGCATCAACTCGTACCAATCACAGGTGAAAATATGCACAGCGAGCGAGTGGCTAGCGATAATGATGGCAGATGATAGAAGAACCACGCTGTGTAAGGACTTGCTAGGTTGTGAAAGTCGCGAACCCGAGGGAGAGATCTCGAGGAAGCCGAGGTGGAGGTGATTTGTTGACAGACACCTCGAAAGGGAAAAAAAAAAAAAAAAAACAATTAAGAGGATATTTTTGAGAAGACAAAGTTTCGCGCGAAGCCAGACCACGAAGAAAGGATAAAGTGTCCGGGGGAAATGCTCTGCAAATCCCAGCCGAATGAAAAAAAGAGTAGTTCACGCGATGCCGAAGATCGAAGATCGAAGACTTGGGGGTTAAAACACTGAAGGTCGCGACCAAACAAGCCAGTGTTGTGCGAATAACCGAGGCGAAAGCAAGTTCAGGGATCCGAAGAGATGAACTGAGGCAATCAAAAAATGCAATGAATTTGGGTCTCGGCCAAAACACAACGTTTTTCCTCAGGGGGGCGGAACTAATCGGGACTATTTGCAAAGTGGATAAATGCTTTTTTGAGTGTTTTTTTCCAGGAAACGAGAAGAGCTGCAGAGAAAGAAGGAATGCAGAGGGGAAAGGAAAAGAAAGAATCGAAGATTAGATGGGGGAGTTGGATGTGAGAGAAGAAGAAGAGAGAGATTGATGAAGGTGGATGGCCTAGGCGGGGATTTCTGCCTGATTTGTAAGGCACAGACCCAACACAACAGGGCCAAAAGGGTACTAGCGTCTTTTCTCCAGGCACAATTGCTTTGAGGGAGAATATCAAAGGAGTATCAAGTCTTATTTTCATATCTTCTTTCGTTTTGTTTCTCATATTTGAGCAAAAATGGTAATTCAAAATTTTTTCAGATTTACCCATACTCCAAGTAACATCCTATTCTACTGCCTGACTGCCTGATCATAGCTGAGAGCATCACAGAAGAAGACCCATTGGGGAGATCTGACTGGCTCGTCCTGTTGACCAATAAGCAGCACACTCAGACCTGAAGTGATCCCCCGTCACATCTCCAGCCAAATCATTGGCTGTTGGCCACTAGCGGCGCGACGTGGCTGTCATCGACGCCTGACAATGCCCCTAGAGCCGCTCGTCGCTGATGCCAAGCTGCCGGTGCCAGCCAATGGATTTACCTGGACTTGTTTGCTTCTAGCTCATAACTCAATCAAATATCATTATCATCATTGTTACAGCCCTGTCTATCATGTGCTGCGATGATGATGAATACCGGAATCTAGTTTAGTGTGTTTCTTCAGAAGGATGATGCTTTCCCATGTGATACTTCGCACATGACTATCATGTGATCTAATTATTGTCGAAACAACCACCTTCCCCTGAATTATGAAACAAGCAGATAACTAGTTAAAAGACCGTGTCCTTGTCCCTATGCCCAAAAATAAAACGACGCCTTGGGCAAGAAGTTGCCGAAAATTGGCTTCATGGCTACCTCAGGTGAGCATACAAGTCCAATTAGCGACAAATAGCATATCAAATATCTTGTAGACGACCTTGAATAAGCTTGGCCCCGGCTGATTGAGATGCTGATGCCCACCTATTAGCTTATGAACCAAGGTGTAGATGGCAATTCATGGATTTCTCAGTAGGGGAAAGAGCTGGCTCTACTACGATATAAAATGCGAGACAATAATGATGGACTCGCACTATTGCGCATTTCGGGGATCATATACGGAGTACGGAGTATAGAGTATGGTGATAAGACCCCAGTGCTATGACCAGGTGGAATCGCACAGACCAGGGAGCTGCCCAGTGAGATCGTCGGTTAGCGTGATTACGATCTACAACGGTTCAAGATGTGGATTTCGACTGTAGAATTTCAAACAAGCGCTGGTATAAACTACGCTTTTTGCAACCCTAAATGAATCATACATGTATAACGTACATCTCAGCCCCTCCTGACTCCATATTTCGGATCTCACCCGTTCAGGAACTGCTGTTCCCCACATTGTATGTACAATATACAAGCACGCCTATGGTCTGTACAGACGCATATGAAAACGAGTTTGGCGGTATATGCTTGCATTGCCTGCTTGTGGGTCATAATGCCAGTAAGATAAAAGAATGGGACCCAAATCACAACTAGATGTGAGTTGTTGATGAGCCGTGAGAACATGAAGAAAAGATAAAAAAAAATGAGGATGAAAAGAAAAGAAAAGAAAGATGAAGATGAGGGGTATCTGCTGGCTGAGGTAGTGTGCCAGAGGAAGAAAATCAATGAGTCGTGAAATATAATCAAACATCGAGTCCATAGGTGCGATCTCGAGGAACCTAAGCATCCACTGGGACACCGGTTCCAGGAAGAGTGGCCGACTCATTCTGGGATGGTAATCGTCGATGGCCTAATTCGGGAGTGGTGCCCTTGCCGTTCATTCGGTCAAATTCCAACGTCTCAGCCAACTCCGCAGCCATAGGGTCCAGATCTTCTTCTTTGAGTCCGGTCGCCAAGGCCACCAGCTTGCGGTGCATATCGAACTTGGTGCTCACACCCGCATCCGCTGTTTGTTGGGCTAAATCCTTGATGGCATTGCGACGTATCTTCTGCGCAGAGCAGAGCTCTTGAGCGAGTCGATACCGAGCCATTAATTCGTCTTGCTCAAGTGACGCTGGGGTAGGTTTAGGTACGTCGGTGATAGCAAACTGTTCAGCCAACCGAGCATGTTGGATTTGTTCAAGAAGCGACTCATAGCTTGCCCGCAATTTTTCATATCGACCAGCTTGGTCGTCGCTGCGCTCATGCTCGGCCTCCTTAGCTGCCAATGCAGAGAGCTGCTTCTGGATCTTCTGACGGTCGGATTCCAATTGCTCGTGCAACGCTTCTGGATTGGCGACGTCATTAGAATCTTGTTGATTGATCTTTGAGTTTCCATAGGTCACGGCAAGCTTTTTATTGGCCTCAGCCATGATTGTCCCAATCTTGGAGAGGAGCTCAGACGTCGCAGGGGCATCTGAGATTGGAGCAACGGACTGTGAATCTGTGCCCACAAGACCAGCTGCTTCAGCATCCATGTGTTCATTGGCCATGGTGACAGAAGATGGGGCTGGCGGGATGTCATGGTCATGATGTTGAGAACGCTGTGCGATACTGCTAGCAGTTTCGCCTTTATTATTCACCAAATCGCCAGCGCGGTGACAATGCACAAGAAGGATGTTCACCAGTCGGAACGCGCCGTTGCGGGCAGCAACCAAGACAGCGGTGTCTCCATTCTGATCCTGACATGACAACAACATTTGGATCTCATCTTGCGAGCATGTCTTGCACAACTTATCGAGAAGTATTTCGCAGTAATAACGTGAGCTCTTCCATTTTCCCTTGCTTCGAGTATTTTCTGCAATGTGATGGAAGATAGTCGCACCGAACCAGTCTCGGAACGAGACAGTGTCCAGAAGCATATCTAAGAGAGTCGGAAACGTTCTCTTTTCGTAATTATTGGTAAACAGAACAGCTCGGACAAGTGGGGTCTCTTCATGCTCCGAGAGTGCCTTGACGTTAGCTCCTTTGTGCAGAAGATCTTGCACAATTCCCAAGTCACCCATTGCACATGCCCAGTGGAGTGCTGTATTCCCCGAATCATCGATGGCTCGGTCGACTTGGAAATGAGCAGGGGGTTCGGGAGGAGGAATGCGTGTTGCCTCTGGTGCATCACCCACGGTCATGAAATAGTCCAGAAGTTGATCGCCGTAGATTATGTGTTCTTGCTCGCTGATGGACATAGCGGTTGCCTCTTCCACTCCACGCTTCCGCTTCCGCCCGCCATGTGACATTTGAAGCATATCCTCGTCTGCGACCATTGATGATGATTCAATTGTGGCGTGCCCGATTGACTCGTTATCGTCGAATCCTGCATTCATTTCATAGTGGTCTTGTGGAATGGTTGGGGGACCCATGCTGCGCTGAGGTTGAACAACTTTCAAGCTCTCTGAAGCTGCTACCGCGGCAGCAGCTGCGGCGGCAGCAGCAGCACGGTTTGCAGCAGCCGATTTCCTCGGTGCTCTAGGTTTGGACGGGGCTGATGTGTGCTTCGGCGCGGGTGGGGGACTGTGGTCTCCAGCAACATAATCGAAAATCGGGGCTAGTTTTGCAAGGATGTTGTTGCGTTCCGCAAGCTGTCGGCCTTCTGCAAGTGGAATCCATGTTCCTGCGAGCAATACCTGTCAGTGACCTGAAGTTTCTCTTCGGGTCTCATAGATCCCAAGACATACCCTGATATTTGCCATAGCCTCCCTGGACTTTCTCATGTACCCCCTTCTGGACCTCACGTTCGAGGATGCGCGTTCGTGCAGGCTTATCAAACCCCGCAGCTTTGAGAATGTGTGTTGCATTGACCCAATCATCTGCTCGCCTTCTCATGACACTGTCAGTGCCGAGCTTGAATTCATACACCGGGACCTGGGATTAAGAATATCAGCTGTGCGCGCAGTACACGGAAAACAATCCCATGCCGTGGAGGTGGAGATGTTCAATTAGAAGTATACTTACACTGCTGTAGGTAGCAGAGTAGATGGTGTTCGTCCCCGCCATAATGTGCGTCGCCGTTGGCCGCTGCAATTCAGTGGGTTCCCGAAGAGCGATATCGCACGTTGAAGCCGAAACGTCACCCCTAGAAGATCCACAAGTTGATTGGTTTAAGAATTCTGCGGAACTCGATGCATTGCACGCAATAAAAATCCCGACCGAGAACACAGAGATACGATTCGGTGGAGCTGGGGGTGGCATCCCAAATACGCGCTGGACGCGTAAAGTGCGCACTAGTCCCGTTTCGGAACAGTGTCATGTGATTTTATGTCATGTGACCAATATCGGGCCAGCAGGAACCTCAAACCAGCGGGAATCGCCAACCTCGCCGTGCTGTTTCTGATTCCCCGCTCCTTGCCTTTCCACGCCTCAAATCTTGACAAAATGACTGTTATCGAATCGGTTAAAAGCGCCGTTGGCCTTTCGGAGACCTCCGGTAAGATTCTAGGGCCATTGATCGACAACCAAAAGCTCTGGCAGGAAAGTTGACCAGATTCTAGCAACCCGCCAGGAAATGTCGGAAGCGCGTCTTCCCATGCAATACAGAGATTCATGTGCACACCTTCTGATCCCGTTGAACCGATGCCGGCAAGCAGAGTACTACCTTCCCTGGAAGTGCGAGGTACGAGATCCCTCATTTTGATGCTCCAACCGAACCCGACTCGACCAGAGCGCTTTCCAGAGCTAGTCAACTAACATAAACCTCTTCTTGTCCTTTAGGATGAGCGACACTCATACGAGAAGTGCCAGTATGAAGAGTTCAAGAAGCGTGTGGCCAAGATGGACGAGCTGCGTGCCGCCAAGGACGGCGCCCGGAGCAACTGAATTGTGGGACTGTTGGTATGCGTGGCCGGTGCTGCTGCTGAAGCAGCAGGAAATGTAAATAAGAGATACACCGAAACTGCTTATGGATTGCCTTTTGGCGTTGGGACCTTTCATCAAAATCGGCCACTTTATTTTCTTCGCCTATCTGGACACCAATTGCGTCCGCAACTTGACGCTCTGTTTGAGATTGGCTAGATTGTTACCTAGCATGTTCCTCGGAGCTTCTTGGGTCGGGCAAATGTCCATGGATAGCTTGTCATTTGGCATAGCTTGAGCGCATGTAACCAGATCGTATAGTAGATCGCTTGTATGCAAAAAGAACTATATAACCCTAGGGCTGTATAGTTCTTTTAGTGAACCTAGACCGCACTGCTGTTCTCTATGCAATCATGCATTGTTATGGCCTACCAATATAAAGCTCACGAAGCCCATTCGGACTGCTTATTCCATATATCTCCCCCTATGTCTACTTACGTGCACAAACCCCTTGACCTATGATCAAAGCATGTTACCAAATTAGACACCACCTAGTCAATCCTGCATCCAATGATCGTTTGCAGCTTTATAAGCTTAAGCGGGAACTTCTATTGGCTGTATTCCTGCCGATTGGCGGTATGCATAACATTTACGCTAGTTGTAGGTATGATAGTATGATAATTAAGCACATGGATGCGTTGAACAAGCCACAAAACTAGTCCTCTACATATAGCTCTTGATGAAGAACTACCCGGATGTTTTTTCCTTGGGTGAACATACCATATAACATTGCATATAACGTGATACCTGCAGATATGATGGTTACTTTCATGCAGATTTCATGCAGTCGTCATTCAATCATGCCATATCAATCAGTCCTCTTTATATTTAGGTACTGTTCTCCTACCCATCCTGTAGGGATTATGTCCATAGTTTAACCTGATGTGTACGGAGTAGAGAATTGAACATAATTCTAGTTCATTTTAGGATTAGCTACTGACTATGATATCTGTGACTTTGTTTTTCCCTTTGTGCCTACATGTTTACAACGCTCGGGCCTATGGTAGAAGCTCTTATGGCGATCCTTGAAGACGCAAGTGCAGGGTCTCATTTCACCACCTCTATATCACCACCTCAAGTTATTTTCTATACCAGGCCACTCCACGTTCAAATATTTCCCAAATTGAGTCAAATGAGGACCTATATAAAAAGGCTTGACGGAATTAACCCTGGGAAGTCTTGAGATATCCTCGGCGTTCTGACAAATCATGATTAATAATACCAAGGTTTCGTAAGGTGGGCAGGGAAATAAAACTCCCGCCGTTATCGCCGCCCCCGCCAGAAAATCGGCTGGTCTCCGAAAAATCGACCCCCCTCATTGCGATTTACCCAGGAATTACAGAGAATCAATTAGAAAGAGGACTATGCGCAAGTCTATGTCTCTTTGATTACTCTTTCTTCGACCTTTGGCTTTCCTATTCACTCTGGGATTGTCTTCTCTCTTCTATTCTATACTTGTGCCTGGGCATTTTGTGTTTTGCCAGCCTGAGACATCTCCGACACAATGGGACTGCTGTATGTGTTTTGAGAGGCTTGATCTACTATTTGGAATCCCTCTAATCTCAAGCAGAGCACTTGGAACAGCGCTGGAATGGCCAGAAGCCAAGAAAAGGGCGGGCCAGGTGCGCCAGTGGGGTATCGAGGTATGCCGCTTGTGTTCGATCCGTCTAGATCGGCAACGAAACAACCTCGAGGTGTCTGACTTGATTAGCAATTACTTGCCAATTGGCGCAGGGCACGAGGCAAAGAACGCGATGCTCTTCTTTGGGGTGACGAGGTATGTTATTCTCCCGCATAGTGTTTCCCGGTCGCAATCCCTAATCAGTACCCCTCTATGATAGGTTGAGTACCTTGTGGTAGCTCTCGACGACCCGGCGAAAAAAGCACGGCTATCTCTAGCCCAGGCTGAGATTCTGAAATCCCTTGCAAGAGACGAGGAGTTATGGAAGTCCGGTTCCGCCAAGAGCAATGGAACTGGGGACCAGTGAGTGTGATTTGATGTCCAACAGGAACCAGCATATCTGACATCACCCAGTGACGGGGAGGAGCCGCCTCATTTCCACCCCGAATTTGGAAGATTCATGTTGGAGGCCACTCCTGGCCAGCCTTGGGGAATCGGGTTTAAAGACCTACTCAAGGTGGAGTCCAATATGAAGTGGAGGTGAGCTGTTTCAGCAACGCAACTTTACCTGAAGCATGCTAATAGCCCCCAAGACGAGAAGTTGCGAAAGCGCACATGGCTCCGAATGAAGTCCCCATCACCCTAACAACCTTCCCTCGGCTGGGAACCAATGATGACTACATCCAGCCATATTACCCTCCGTCTGGACCAGCTCTCCGCTCCCAGTTTGTTCCTGATGAGATTGCCAACCCCCATATCCGATTCCCTACTCTGGCTGCCAACATTCGATCCCGAAGAGGTCGCAAGGTCGAACTGAATGTACCTGTTTTCCACGACACAAATACGCCTAAGCCATTTAAGGATCCAACAGTTAATTACGACCTTCATAATTGGCCCGAGGATGAGGATGTCCGCAACGGCGCAGCCAAAGACGATCATGTTTACATGGACGCCATGGCATTCGGAATGGGCAGCTGTTGCTTGCAGATCACCTTCCAAGCAAAGAATATGACAGAGGGTAGAAGACTTTATGATCAGCTGAGTCCTCTGGGGCCCATTCTTTTAGCCCTGACCGCCGCTACACCCATCTATAAAGGTTTCCTAGTGGACACAGATGTGCGATGGAACCAAATTGGCAATGCAGTCGATGACAGGACACCCGAGGAACTTGGTGAAGCTGTAAGTTTTCCGGGATGATCCCTTCGGCTCACCGAACTAACCTCTTGCAGCCTCTCAAGAACGACCGGTGGAGAATTCCCAAGTCGCGATATGCCTCTAATTCGACTTATATCTCTCAGGATCCTCGTCTCCGGAAAGAATACTTCGATCCTGATCTAGTCGTTGATGAGGATATTAAGAAACGCCTCATGGACGGGGGAATGGATGACCTACTTGCAACTCATTTTGCACACTTGTTTATCCGTGATCCCTTGGTCATTTTCTCCGAGGATCTCGAAGAACTGGATCTTAACAAGAGTGACCACTTTGAGAATTTACAGTCCACTAATTGGCAGCACATGCGATTCAAGCCGCCGCCACCTGATAAAGATGATATTGGCTGGAGAGTTGAGTTCCGGTCTATGGAGATTCAAATCACAGATTTTGAGAACGCCGCATTTAGCATTTTCATCGTCCTCATCACTCGTGCCATCCTGAGCTTCGATCTCAACTTCTACATCCCGATCCAGCGTACTACTGAGAATATGGAGACGGCGCACGCTCGCAACGCTGTTCTTGATCGGAAGTTCTGGTTCCGCAAGGACCCCTTCCCTCGCAGGGTGCCCAGAAGCGCACAGCAGTCAACCAACGGTAGCACCTTCTCATCTACGACATCGTCGGCTGTGAATACTCCGCCTCCCTCGCCTCCTCTTGGTCCCGTTGAGACAGAGTTTGATCTCATGACCATCGACGACATTGTGAATGGATGCGCAGACGGATCATTCCCAGGTCTCATCCCGCTTGTGGAGTCCTACCTCAACAGCGTCAATGTTGACGTTGAGACGAGGTGTTTCCTGGCCAGCTATCTTGACCTAATCCGGAAGCGAGCCGATGGAACTCTCTGGACCGGGGCTCGTTGGATGCGTGAGTTTGTATCCAAGCATCCTGGCTACAAGCAGGACAGTGTTGTGTCCGAGGAGATCACATACGATCTAGTGAAGGCCGTTGAGGAGATGACTGTCAAAGAAGGCAAAAAGGGATCAGTCGGGTGGGAACTTCTCCGAGGCAAAAAGATCTAGATAAGAGGCATCTACACACATCCACACACAACTAGATATCCAGAGTGTGAGCATTTATAGCGGAAACTTGAAACAATTTGCACATATTCATGACAATCAGGAGGCAGCCCTCCTTGTCACAGCATCTGATGAATCTTAATTTTCTCATTTCCCAAGTGTCTCCAACTAAAGTACTCATTCCAGCAACATTTCCTCCTCAGTCGGCAACCGACATGAGTCCGCCAGCCCAGTCACCTTCCATTCACCGTTGAGTTTATGCAAAACAAAAAGTTCCACACCAACATGGTCCACAACTCCATTGATCTTCGCCCGGAATGGTGCCCACACAGCAGCCAAGTTCAAGCTTCCTGTTTCGTGCACCTTCACCTCAGGATCCCAGATGCGCTCATCGATGTCGTCTCTGAGCCCAGCGACATGTTCAACGAACGAACCAATGGTACAGAAGCGCAGGGAAGTTGGAGATGGAGGCGAGAGTGTCATCCCTCCTGCTCGGACACAGTGTTTCTCGAAATCGGCGCGCGACTTGGTGCTCAGTGCTGCAAGGAACCCTTGCGTAACTGTGATAATGGCGGCTGTTTCCTCGGATTCTGATTGAATAGCTGGCCCGGTTCGAGAGCGATTTGGTAATGACCAGCACATTGTTGATGGTATGGTTTAGATGGAGGAAAGCATCAAATCGTCAAGTTATCATTATAGTGGGATGTTCGTCTTGTCATATCTTCTATCTTCGCTAGTTTTCAAGAGCAAACAAATCGATGTACATGTGTACTTACATATGTATACCCTCGCTACTATTCGGATTACAGCTGTTACCGTTACAGTGTCCATCGGTGTGTTGTTTCGGTCTGTCACACTTTGTCTAACTTTGTTCAATTTCAGGATTTCAGGAACCCTGCGATCTTGCTGTCATACAAGGGTAAGTGCTTGGTGTCACACATCGACTTATTTGGTGCTTGGTCCGATTTTCATCCTACAATACTCCCATGTCGACTATTTCCGTTGAATTTGATTCTTGTATTACTATCAGGGGCATGCGGCAGCTACTAGGCTATCAGTTCTAATGATTATATGCGCTTCATATCTCCTTTTACTACATTGCGAATCTATACATCTTGAACTCACTTGTCTCGGAAGTCGGCTTAAAAGCCTCGGGTAATCCTCGGAGGGATTAATATGGCCTATGACCAAAACAGACAATCATCCGTCAAAGTTTGGAGAAGATGGGCCATGAAACTAAATACCCCGGAACATCTTGAAGGGGTATTGGTGGATGAACAGGCTTGCGCCATCCCACTTCTCCACTTCTTGCCATAA